GGTATGAAGTGAACGTTCGATATTGTGAATGCTAGGCTGCGTTTTCTAGTGACCATCAGTCGTCGTCTCACTTCTTGAATGTAGAAATAGTCTTAAACGGAGCTGTATATTATGTGAATTTCAATGATGCGGATCTGTTTCCGTCTCCGATCAGACTGGAGAATCACACGGATGTTCCGGTGAACTTTCACCAGACCGGCTGTAACGAACAGTTCATGCAGTCTGTTTTGGAGCCACATAGCGAAAGTAGGCTTGGTCTCTTGTTTCTCTGTCAGTGTTGTCTGGAAGACTGTGTTCGGTTTTTCAGAACCGTATGCCTGGGACGACCCGCTTCTTCGTCAGTGCCTTGTCCTGAACGTGTACGACAGTCCAGCCGTGACTTATGACTTGACGACACTCGGTCAGAACGAGCCGCTCACCTATGAGAACTACTTCCACATCGTCGTCGTTTCTCGGTACTCGCGTTGTTGTTCTTACTGCTGTTGTCCTGTGCTCTTTAGTAGGCGCTGTTTCTCATGATTGCTTAAATTTAGAACTGGCGTAGACAACTCTAAACCTGAGTTTGCCCTGGAGGCGTTCAGCACCGGAAACGTCGTGTTGCAGCCAATGGTAAGCGATGCTATTTTTGCGACTGTATTCTGTGACTTTGCCTGCTGTACTGTATTTATTCCTTTTATTGGTGCAAACAGCCGTAATCAGTAGCATCATGGCACATAATCGACGAGCGCCATTTGCGCCAGTCAGAAGAATGTCCACTACATTGACGAGCCTGGGAGACGAAACCCTGGCGCACTAGTTATAATTAGTATTTCTTCTTGTTGTACTCTGTTTCCTTGAAACAAGGAAGACGCACACCGCGGCATGGCAGTTTCGTTACTTCAGTGCGAGCTGGTGCCTACTTATGAATTATTCGACTAATTGATTCCGCAGAGGAGGCTCATTTATTGACTGTTGAACACTGGCTGAAGCTTTGCAAAATCTTGATGACTGTAAGCGTTTGTCAGGAATTTGTAATAATCCGCCAGAGTCTCGTTGGTCGACTGTTTTTGGATTAAGGACTACCGTAACGGTTACAAGCGAACAAACCCCACCGTACTTCACCCTGTCTGGCAAATCTTAAAATAATAGCTGCCTGCTCCCTGCGAAAAGGACGAGAAAGTAGTTTTTAGGTAACACTGCGCCAGTCGCTCTATAAGATATGTCAACTTGTCATTCAGAGTTCCCAAGGTGTGCATTTGATTGGTATCCAGAAAGTTGCACTTCATCCACGGAAAGTTCACCGACTGGAAAATTCACTGACCAGCAGTTCGTCGAAAGAAAATT